CCCCCCCCCGGGCCCGGTTCCCCCCCCCCCCGCGGGGTCCGGGTCCCTCCCCCCTCCAGGGTTCGGTTCCCCCCCCCCCGCGGGGTCTGGGTCCCTCCACCCTCCAGGGTCCAGGTCGCTCCCCCCTCCAGGGTCTGGTTCTCTTCAACCTCAGGTTCCCCATCTCCCTACCCTCCTGGGTCCGTGTATCCCCACACTTCGCGCGACTGCCAAGGGGAAAGCCAGTTTTGATCTCGGAGTGGGAGGACAACTCCCACCAGTCAAGGAAGAGGTAAGGTGGCCAGTAAGGAGGCCTGCAGCGGGAAGGACCTGGGATGCAGCGGGGTGGGCACCTTCCGTCTGCGCTGGCACCTGCTTACGCCTGGGTTCTAAGGGCCTGATACACGTGTGGACTAAGTGCTGGCTGAACTGCTCCTCATGGCTTTTAGAGAAGAGGAAATAGGACACTGGAGAGAACCAGCACATTAGCGAGTTGGTGCCCTGTGGGTGTTTCCTGTAGGAAATACCTTAGCTGGATTATTTAAATGGTCTAAAACGAACACGACAAAACACCATTGAAAACAACTACATGCATGGAAAGATTATTTTTCTAAAAAGAACGTTGTTAAAATGATGCCAAGGGCTTGTTTTACAGTTAATTAATATATTTGAATCCTAACACACTTAACAGGGAAATCAAGAGTGTTGTATTTCACTAAGAACTTTAGCGGCAACTTCGTAAATTGAAAAGAAGGAAGATATTTAGAAAAACAAAAGAGCATAACATTAGCGAGAACTACTTTTTAAAGAGGCAGAAAAACTACTTAAATATGACTCAAAACATTTCTTAAAGTTTAAGTTAAAAAATTCTAAAAGACTTATTTTTCTAATATTTTTTTTCTATAAATTATAGATTTTATTAAATATAATTTCTCTGGAGCCAAGATGTTAATTTTAGAAAATTACACACAGTTTTACTAAAATATCAAAACTTCCCAAAAATCTTGAACTATTTTACCAATTTGGTGCTTTGCTAATCTGTAGGAATTCTTGATCTGAATAAGCACATCTAATTTTGCTGAGTTCCTGAGTTTTAAGGCAGCCAGGCTTTTCTCTCATTATGACTGCATATATGAGAGAATCCATCTCCACTTTCAGAGTGACAACTCCACTTTTAGGGTTAAAATTAAAGGCTTTGGAGTCAGATGGGCTTGGATTCAAACCCCAGCATGACCACCCTTTCATGCTATCATTCATTTAGTCGTGCATTTAACCAGTATTTATTCAGAGACACATTAGTGAATACACAGTAATTGTCCCCTTCCTTCCTCTGCCCTCCTGGGCAAAGTCAGACAATAAAAAAAGTAAATAAAACAAATGAGTTAATTCCATAGCATGTTAGAACATGATACATGCTATGAGGTGGGAAACTACAGGCCATAATAGTCACAGAATTGGGTCTGTGTGTGTGTGTGTTTGCGCGGTGGCATTGGTGCTAATTATAATTTTAAAAGAGGTCTTGGTCACATCTCTCTGGGCTTCAGTATAGTCATGCCTAAAATGGTGATATCACTAAATCATCTCAGAGGAATAAAATAATGTATGTAAAGTGCTTAGCTCAGATGCTGGCACTCTGTAAACATGAAACAAATGGGAGACATCCAGATGAGAATGAAAAGAACAAAGTTAATTTTCTAACTCAATGGATATCTTTGAAGGCCAGTATTATACAGGGTTCACCAAAGCAGCCAACTTTTAAGAGTAGAAAATACCCCAAATGCACGATTCTGTAATTAATGAGCATCATCGCAAAGGCTTTCAATGTACTAAAACACAGCAACTCATAAGCTTCTCCTAGAAAGTTAATGAACCAAACAAAATGTTAACATTAGTATTATAGAGTTGTTCTGAAGATTTGAATAATTTAAAGGACTTGTGGCAGGTTGTATTTTACAAAACTGGCTTCAACAATATTTTTAGTCCTTCGTGCTCTTCGAGAACCTTGAAGCTGGAAGGACCTCTGTGACCGCCCCATGAGTAAAATATGGCCAAAGCAATGCCGCCTGCCCGCTGAGGCTGGGTCAGGGGCAGTGCAGCTTCTGGCTGGCTCTTCCTCTCTCGGGACACATCTCTTGGTGGCCCTGATCTCTATGTGAGAAGACTGCTTACTCTGAAGCACCCATGCAGTGGAGAACATGTGGAGAGGCCACACAGAGGTGACAGAGATGCCAGAGGACCCCATCTGCTCCAGCCCTCAGTTGTCCAGGTTTCCCCACAGCCCAGACACCAGAAATGTAATGAACTGAGCCTCTGTAGACCATCCCAGGCCCAGCCACTGTCTGACCACAGCTGTGAGAGAGCTTGCATGAGAAGGGCTCAGCTGATTCCCAACTAGTAGAATGGGGGCGGGGCGGGAGAGAGAGAGAGAGAG